AAGTTCTTGGCTAGTGAAGTAGTACGAATACAGGGTCCAGAAGGGTTGAACTACTGCGAGAAACCGTATTTTAGGAGGTAAGTTTCCGTATCGGTCCGCACTGTGATTTCCGGTCACAGCGCTCTGTGGGAGGGCACATGGAAGAACCACGAAGCTACAGTGAGATATCTCATTGACAAAGGAGCTAATGTTAACTTCAAGGATAAGGCCGGACGGTAATAGCAGTGGATCATTTCAGCCGGAGTGGGTTCATGGTAGTACACCGTTACACGAGGCATCGCGATATGGTCATACTACTCTAGTGGAGCTCCTAGTGGACCACAAGGCCGACATTGACTCCTTGGATGGGTGAGTTCAGCGGTTTATGGCCCTCTCAGTTGCCCCTTAGGGCCGGCGAATCCCCATTGGCACAAGCAGTAAGCTGTTGTCGGCATGATGTAGTGGCGTTGTTAACGGCCAGGGGCGCTAAGTGAGTGCGGGTGGGGTTGGATTTGGATAGTTGCTCGTGTAGGTTGCATATCACAGACTCGCAGGGCATCACAGTGCAGCACTTAGCGGCTTTTGCTGGGGAGCCCCAAATGGCCGATTGGCTCTACTATAGAGGGGCTTGGAAGAATAGGTAGAGTAATTTGATAACGCGAAAGGAAGGCAGTAGTAGGTACGCTGTAGAGCACATCGATAACAAGGAGGAGAAGGATGCGAATGCCGAGGAGGGAAATATGGTGGCGGCTATCGTTCCCTATACACAAGGCTCTGAGGCTGTCCAGGGTAAGTGGTTTTGCATGGGGAATTTGAGACTGCTCTCAGAAGGAGATCACGAAGAAGTGAATGAGGGCGATGGAGAGACGGAGAGTTAATGGCGACGAATTTGTCATGCATCAACGCTTATCAACGATGTTCATTGAAAGCAGTCTTGAGTTAGATTCCCCAGGTGGCGAAATATAGTCAGTGTTGAAATATATGTTCGCTTTCCTCAGCTGAGTTCAGGAGTTTCCTCACCTCTTATACAAGTTTGCATACGAATTCGGGTAGGAGTGTGCGGAAACCAATGAATATTTCCTCAAAATTTCGTGCGCATTTTCACACACCAGATATAGTTGATAAATTTGTAATGGCAGACGACGCAGTGGATCTCGACTACTCCTTCCTGTCGTACCTTACAGGGGCCCTTATAATGCTGGTGTTTGTAGTGGCCCCCATAGCAGCTATGGTGAGCTCAGTAGGTTGCGCCGTTGCAAGAGCTCCTTGTCAGGCGATGAAGAACAAGAACACAGTGCTAGCTTTGTGGCGGAGGCGATCATAGACACACTATTGTTATGGGATATATGATTTCCTCGGAGCCCATATCTTCTTTAGTTGTCAATGTGATGTTTTCCTCGGTGACCTTAGATAAGTCTACCTCACCATCAAAACTGCATGCAATTTTGAATAGCAG